GACGGACTTGAAATTCCATCCCTAGAAGCCCCGTGACGTCCAACAATTCTTTCCGAAAGACTGTGACAGGCGAATGGAATTAGCAGAAATCGTATTAGTATGAAAGGAAGGTAACTCTGATGTGTTTTAAAAATTTTAGGGAGTGATGAAGCAATTTTTAATAGGCATAACTACCATTACTGTAATGTGAATCCGTCTGCTGCTGCTGAAAAAATGCAGGCTAGTCCTAAAGTAGCAGTGTGGCGGGGAATGATATTGACCCAAGTGGTGTATCCTTTTATGTTAAGGAACTCAATGAACGTTAACGTTACTTGGATATGATTAGGAAATTTGTGTTGCCGATCATTAGCGAATAATAAAAAAATGCTGATACTGATGTAGGATAGCGCATTCCTTCCACTCTGATCTTGATGTTCGCGAATGTCTGGGCCTTCCTTTCCCAGAAAGATAGACCGTTAACAGATCAACAAAGTGACCTGCTAAAAGCATAATTTCACACATTGTGATTTTGTTGTGTGGGTTAGACCAAAGAAAAAGCATATAAAACGTATCCGACAAACAGGGTGGTCTTCTAGAAGCCCAATCTCATGGCCAAAGAAGAAGTGTGCAAAACTCATCCAATAACTCTGATTGAGTACGATTAAGGAATCCGTGCTGTTTCGAACTCAGTACCCCTAGTTTTTTTAAGAAAAGTTATGGATCATGTACGCACATGTACTCACATGTAGAAATATACTGAGAATGCTTAGGTAAATTAATTTAAGTTGTGATATTTTGACTTAGTAATTAAAAAGAAGAAAATAATTTGCTTCTTTAATATTATTATTGCTCTTATGTATAAAATTAAATTTGAATTTATCCGAAAGTTGCAGCATTTCTGTAAAGTTTAATTTGTAGTATGGGAAGATTTGAAGTTTGTTTCATTCATTATTGGTATTTATGTATTTATTTAACAGTCTTAATTTGAAACAATAATTCTCTGATGTTTATGAAAGCAACAGTGAGACAAGTGAAGAACTTTTCATAAATATTGTTACATTTTGAAGAATATTTATTTTAAGTTCTTAGAAATTTTTATGAAGCATTAATTACATTATAAAAATTTATGTGATTGAATTATGCTTAAAAGATATGACTTAAAATTTGTTATTTAAGAACAGGAAACATTTAGTTCCGTTTTAAGCTTCATAAATTAGTCGATCGTTAACTTAGTAAAGCCAACAAAATATCTAAAAATAACATAAGTTTTTATTTTTAAATCCCTCGTGTAAACTTTTTTCCCATAAGAAACAGACTTTCGAAATTTATGCAATCCCTGAGCTCCACGATTACAAATAAATACTTTAATAAATTGCTTATGTTATTCAACAATAGTGTTACTAACTCACTCAGATGCCCCTTAGCTTAAATCACATGATAGATCTAAATTTAATTAGTAATTTGCAAGCATGCAACCTATAACAAAGACAATGTAAGTTAATACACATAAATATAATAAATACGCAAGCAAGTTAGGTAACACTTTCTTGCTTAATGAACTGTAAAATATGTAATCCATTTAAACTTTCGATTTTAGGAAAACATTCTTTTTTTTTCCATTTAATAAAAAGATTAAGAATTTCAAGGATAAGAATAATATAAAGCTTTAATTTTTGTCTTGGACCATCCCTTTCCAAACAGGAAACATACAGTCATCTTTATTATTATTATTCGAATCTTGTTCGCCTTATTCATTCAAGCGTTACCAATTTATTTGGTTCTTTATATTTTAACATTCATTTTCAAGTTTATTTTGTTGATATTGATGTGAAAAAAGGTTATTTAGAATGGGAAAAAGTTTAGCGTTCTTGTTTCGTCATCATGCATACCAGATATTTTATAATATAAAGCACGCCGTATTAGTTGAGCCTAATTATACTTTTGAAGAGATAACATTCTTTATGATCTCAACACATAGCTTATATGACTTAAAATTTGTTATTATTCGATATTGGTGAAAAGACTTTAAATCTGATTTGTCATTCGTTATGATCAACTGAATAATTTTCATGAAGTAATTGCAATTTATTTCCAAAATTTAAGTGATGTCAGACTCCTTAAAATTTTGAAATTCTGCCAGAAAATGCAACCAATTTAGCGCCTAAGTTTTATTATATTTTAATTAAAGAAGTTAGCATTAAAAGTACAGTATGTCCATAATTTAATCACTGGATAATAAAATTACATTGAAACATAATTTTACGAAGTAACCGAAAATAATTTATATCGATATAATTTTTAGTTAAAGGAATTTCCTTTGCTCTAATTTTTTTGATGGCAACAGGGAACTTGTATGTTTACTAACAAAATGGCTTCATGCAGTAAAAAAAGCAATGTGCGTTCTATTGCTATGGGAAACGAAATTTTCAAAATTATATCAGGGGCGATTCGGACGCGAATTTAATAAACCTCCACCGACGGAGCAATCAATTAAAAGACAGTTAAAGCATTTTCGAGAGACCGGACATGTTTTGCATAAAGGGGGTTCAAGTCAGTCAAGTGTCAGTGATGAATATGTTTCCGCCATTCGAGATGTGTTTATTTGCGGTCCCAGTAAATCCGTTCTCTGTGCCAGCCTACAAACAGGAATTCACACGTCGTTTGTTCATTTGAAAATTTGTCAGCAAATCAAAACACATGATCAAGTCGTTCGTAAGGGATTTTCTGTAGACATTCTTGACCATATCAGTAGTGATGATCAGTTTCTTCAGAAAATCGTACCGCTGTCATTGGGATACACATGTGTTGGATTTAATTGATGAAATATTCCCAGATCGTAGGATTGTTAAGGGCCGTTCCCACTGGGGTTTATCTGAGCTAACGGAGTAAGTTCCATGTGTCGACTAGCTCTGCCATGCCTGCAGCTCAGATTTTTCAACTTTCAAGATTTTCAACTATGGGAATAACCGGCTTTGGAGATGTCACGGTTACGTCAGTTGTCCCCTTTAGCTCAGATAAACCCCAGTGGGAACGGCCCTTTAGAGCTGGACAAACTTCATCGCCATCCTATTCGTCACACCAATCGACTTCTTTTTTTCCCTTGAAGAACCAAGTTTATGCTACAGAGATTCGCAGCATCAGAATATTAAAAAATGGAATAACCACTAGAGATACACGATCCACTCCAGAACTGATTCAAAGAACCGACTCACTTTACTGAAGGAGTAATTTCCGATGCAGCGAAAACGGAGTGGTAGTTCTTTAATAGGGAGAGCTTTTATTGGGAATTGTGGCAAAAAATTGATTCCTTTTATGTAAATACTAACATTCTTTTCTTTATTACTTACCGAAAACGGAAACGTCTCTCTGTCCTTTTATTATGCGTGTGTGTGTTGTTATGTGTATATATGTGTGCTTTTCGTTTGCTTGTGTTCCATCTAGTATTTAAAAAACTAAGCATTAATTAAACCGACGCATCTCAGCGAAACTGACCACTCTTGTTTGCAGATAGATGGAATTTTTTTTTCATCTGGTAGTGCGAAGATCTGTTTAAAGTACGTAGATTGTAGGCGCTCAGTTTCCTCCTCGGACTCCCAGCTGTGATCGCTCCAACGCTCTTTCTCAAGTTGCAGATCTGAGTCCTTCGGAATGTTGATTATTCGCTCTAAATGCCATTTGATTGTTAAAATCTGACTGTTATGATAAAAGGACATATTTATTAAAGTTTACTCAAAGAAATCGAGATTAATATGATATTTTCAATATATATTCTTTCAAATAACTTTTAAGTTTATTTCAAGAAATTCAACAGTTTATATTGATATTTGTTTTCAGTTTGTTGTAGTTTTGTTATGCTATGTCTTTAGATACAGTTTTGTGGTGGACTAAAGTTTTGAGTAATATAGCATATTAGCCTTTCTTCACCACTTTTCACCGCACACCTGCTCACACGAGTAGCATGACGTTTAACTTTTGTCATCTCTCCCTCTCTTTTTAAAATTATTTAAAATTTTAGTGGATTTCAGCAAGTGCTTATGTTGAGGACACTGATGACAGCAATTCCTGAAAATTTCTCCCTCGAATATTCTAATGCAGTATTATATGCAAAAAATTAATTAGTTAGCGCCTGAGGGTGTCTTATTGAAACTTGGAAATCTTTTAGCTCCGTCTGTTTAATCAGTTTCAGACTATCAGACTCTTTTTCATGCATGTAAGTGGCAGTTTCAATAGGCTTTCATTCCCATTAAAGGTAGTCTTGGAAATATTTCAAAATATTAACTCTTTTACAAGTGTGAAAAATAAAGAGAAACGTGTTTTATTTGCTCTTAGGAAAGCTTATCTTCCAAGTGTTGCACTGAGGTTTACTACAAAGTAAGAGTTTTTGCTGTCTTGCAATAACGAAATAAGAGTTAACATACTTAAAAATTACAAAGCTAACTGTTCTGCTGCAATTTTTAAAACAGAAGTTCTATCATTGTTTGGCATGCATTTTTAATTAATCATTTTGAATAAATTCCTAAATCATTCCTGTTTTACCTCAGTAGGTTATCAAAGTTAAGTTTTCCTGCTACGTTTTTTAAAATTTTATCCCTATTAGTTTCCTATCCACCGTAATTGGCTCTGTTGATGAGTTCCCTGTCGATCCCGCAAGAAATTATTCCCTCTATTCACTATTAGTTTTCGAGCTATGTAATGGAGCAAGAACTTCCCTTAAAATGTTTTGTTAATTTGCCATAAAAATCTAAAAACTTGATTGAATGCTTTATATCCTTGAAGATAAATGCGTTAGGAGAACAGGAAGAAATTTCAGTCGGCTAGCCAAAATTTTTAAGTAAAGAAACTGTTAAATATTTTTACGATAGAAATGTAAATTAACATTATCATTTAAAGATATTGTTCTTGCAGACATACAAAATTAAACCTAAGATGTTTTTGACATACACTAAATAAAAAATTAAACAAAAACACAAAAACATTATTTCAAATTATTTTATTTAAAATTTCTAATGCCTTCATCCGTATGTGATAACAAATGGCTTTTTCACATTATCTAAAAATCCATGTAAAGACAAAAAAGTATTTACAAACACCAATAACTAAAAAAGAACATATCACAGATGCAGTATCTGCAAATTATACCAAAGGTTTACCATTGAATTCTATATTTCTGTAGGAGTCCCTAGGAATTCTTATAAAATTGCTTTCAGTATGCTCCGAATTTTGCACCTACATACCCAGCACCACCAGCATGTGGCATAGGCACTGCAACTTTCGAAACTGCTCCTGTAGGAATTTCTATTGGTCCCATGTGAGCTCCAGCTCCCCCGAAGTAAGGATGGGCAGAGGACACCATTTTGACAGCAGCAGGATCCACAGCAGCTGTTCCATGTTCGTTGGTATTTACTTCTGCCCTATACCCACCTTTGTCTGCAATATAAGTGACCTGGCGCTTAACACCTCTCTCATCAGTGAATCCATAACTGCCTTTGACAGCTCCATTCCCATCACTAGTCTCTTCTCTTTGTTGTTCACTGCCCTTGTCTTTCACCGTATAGCCAAAAGCATATGGATGAGGCACGTGCATTTTACCCTTAAAGAGAGAAAACATATTGTTAAATATATCTGTAAAGTAATACAGTAAAGATTTTATTAGATTCGATAACATTTCTAGCTACTCAAAGCAAAGGTTAATTTTTCAATTTTATTCTAGAACTTACTGTTAACTAGGAATTTAGCATAGCAACTTCAGCAGTCAAGACCAAGAAAGGAGATAATTGTCGAAAGAACTTAGCATCTTGGTCATACTGACTTACGAATGACAAACTTTTTATGCGAAGTGTTATCAGATATCTGTCTTTTAGCCTTGTGCTTCTCAAAAGTTTGATGAATCCGATAAAAGTCTTTAGAACAGCTATTGGAATAAGGAGAACTATAGGAAGAAGTAACCCTTGTCTTACAGTTATCATTTAATCAAATCTATGTCCTATTGGTTAGCCAAAAGTTTCATATTTTTCATAAAAAAGTGCTATTTATGAAGAAGCTTAAGATTAGGCAAAGCAACAATCTTCTGTTCGGAGTATATTTTAACCAAGACTTTATCGATTTCGAGGGCGAACAGATACAGGGCCGCCTTCATCATAATGAAAAGAAACTGAATATGAAGAAGTTATACAGCCTCTAATTGTTCCCGTTTCCTTTTTGGAGGTTTCTTTGTTGAAATATTTAAAATATTAATAATAAAAGCCGAGGTCATTCTGCCAAGGAAGGAACTTTAAATTTGTAATGGAGAATTTTGTTGCTTAGCTCAAGACTTTTACTCTTTATTACTAATTAAGGCGTAAATTATAACAAATATTAATTTTTTTTATATTTTTCGTCATTTAAAACCATGGAGGTAGGAAGTAAGATGGAGTCGCCCTAAACAAGTTTCTCCCGTACCCTGCTCTGAAGCACCGGCGATCCCTACGTGGTGACCAAAACATTGGGTCATTTACCATTGAGTTCTATGGGATTTGACGCGTTCGGATGTAAATATTTTGTAATTACGTCGTAAATATACATATAAATGTATATATTTTCTTTTTCTACAACACTTCAGAGTCCTAAGTATGTGAAAACAACATATTTTTAAACAACATTTCATTCTGAACAGAATTAAATGCTATACTTTTCACAGGACAGTTTTCTCAGAATGGTTTAATTTGAATGAAATATTTTCACAAGTTTTCGTTAATTACATTAGGAAAAAAAATTGAGGTAATTCGATTTTATTCGGTTAAGGTACAAAAATTAAGATCAAAGTTTATTGTATTATTAATATTAAAATTATGCATTATTTCTTTTCTATTTATAGAGCTTCTTCCTAAAATACTTTCTTAAATATGACATGATTTTTTGGCTTCTTTTAAATCGAAAAATGTACGTCAATTTATAATTAATGCTATTAATTATTCGGTTCATTTTAAATTAGAGAATTATTAGGAATTAGCGAAATACTTTAAATAAGTATTTCGCTAATTCCTAATTATTAAATAGGTATTAAATAGTACTTGAACTTTCTCTGAACATTTCTGAGAGAGAATAAAATAAGTTTTTTTTTAAAGTATTATTTAAAACTTGTAACTGAGTTATTATAAAATGTAAGGGGAATAATTTTTTTAATTATACTTATCAGATTTTTTTTTACCCTTCATTTCAACAATACATATTCCAAAACTCTTTATTACGTTCTTAAGTGCGCATCTCATAGCATTTGCTTTACAATACCTTTTAACAGATTGCTTTCCAATACGAACAATTCTTGCTTAAATAGTTTTATAACGTATTTGTCAACAGGATTTCAATTTATGTTTATAATTCAATATTAAGGTTATTATATATTTAGATAACATTTATAATCATTATAAATTAGATACATTTAATAATTAGATTTCTTCACAGTTGTTTATAAGTGAATAAATTCTTCATTTCAAATACATTTATAAATAATTTAATGAATATTTATGTATTTTGTCAAAGGCAGATACATGCTTTTTGCAATAATATGCAACAATAATATATGGATGTGAAAAAAATTTGTTTTATTTAAAACATTTTGGCGTTTGGAAAATAAAATAAAAGTAGCGAATACTCTATCAAGGGTATCGAAAGACGTATACAATTTTAAATGTACCGTAAGGTATTTTTCAATCTTTAAGCATAACATTTTTCTTAAAATCTATATTTTTGTAGTGCAACAGCTTATAATTTTATAAAACAAATTCATAATCAAAATCACTGTTGTTAGTTATCGAAAAATAACCAAGATGTGATTTTTGCGTAAATGTCACTAAACTATACACATTGCTATTATCCATCACACTATGAATGTTTCTTTCATGCGAAAGTGTCCCTTTTTCGATTTCTATGGAACTGTCGTGTGTCGAAATACTATCAGAATCTTGTCAAGCGAGCTTCTGAATGTAAACAAAGAACACCCCATCTGGTGACCCAAGCTTCAAAGCAGTGCTTCACTTTTAGCGCGGGTTGGCCCCTCCTCCCTTTCCTACCTCCATGTTTAAAACGTAGGAAAGTTTTCTAATTTTCATAAGCAGAAATTCATATAAATTAATTTTAAGGCCTCTTATAAAAAGTTTCAAAAAATTAAATAAATTTGAGATTAAGTAATTTTTAACATTTTATTGAATAGAAGCATCTGAATTTAATTTAAAATCTTAGGTTATTTATCGGTTAAGTTTTACGTTACTTATATATTTAAAAGTTTTACATTATTTGTGGGAGAAACCTTTCCTATAAACTTTCATTTTCAGCACGCTTTCCTGCTAAGATGTGATTTTAGTTCCGTGCATTATGCAAAATAGAGTAGAAAGCTGCTGCTTAAACTGGTGTCTGAATTACTTCAGATAGAGCCTATTCAGTGCGTGTTTGCCTTTCGGCACGCTGTTTCCCTGCTACTTAAGTCTGCTAGTATTTTACGGCCATACATATTGCCGATTAGTTTACATCGGGAGTAGTCAATTACACATTAAATTATCTCTCTGCGCAGCTTCGGCTGAATTCTTCAACTTATGATTAGTTTAATTTTACGTTTTCTATTCTGAGTTGTAGCCAAAGGTATTGGCGAGGCCTTGTTACGCGCCAGTAGTGCCATCTGTTCATATTATTCTTGAGTTGAAGTTAAAAGGCCTTTTCACCCTTCTTATGTATTGTTATTGATACCAGTTGAGCTTAGCGAACAGTTGTTTCACAATTCAAGTTAATATCTAGCCTCCAGATAACTTTAAATTAGCTAGAACCTTACATATTTATTTCCAAAGAACATTAAGGGATATCTGCCTTAGAACGGGGCTTTCATGGAGGTCTTCCTGTGTAAAATGTTTTCTAATGCGTTAAAGCAAAGAGAAAATATATACATACATATATATGTATCAGTAAAGACATAAAGTAAGAAATATAGAACTAATTTACAAATTTAGGGATTAGAACTAACATCACAAGGACAAGGGTTTAAGTTTCTCTTTAGAAACTTTACTGTAATTTAGGCTAGCGCCCTAATTACTTATTGCTCATAAAATTTGTTTGAAGAGTTTCATTTTAAAATTTTACCTTCTTTTTTTTTGCGTTTGTAGGATTATTTGAAATTTGTTACTTATGATTTTCAATGTTTTGTCATCGTGAAAATTTAGTTCTAAATTTCTTTATGTCTTTCCTGATATTTTTTCAGCAGCTTAAATCGCGAAAATACTATGCATGATTATATTATGTTTTTTTAAAAAATTGTTTTATAATTAGGATATATATATACACACACATATATATATATTCTCCAGATATTTATTTAAGTTAGATTTCTGGTACAAAACTTGGAATGAGTTCCCGAATTCAGTGCTTTTATCTGCATTTTTGATAATTTTCATTTTCAAATGCATCTGAATAAAGATTTTTTTACAAGACATATAACAAAATTTAACTTATTTTACATAAGGAAAAATATTACTTCATACATACTTCTTCTCCGTTGGGCACTAAGAACGCATTTACGGATGCAGCAACAGCGATAAAGAGAAGCAGAGAAACCTAAAAAAAGAAAATGCTGACTATATACACGCAGTTTTGTTTAAATTTCGAAGGTTTAATATCTAAAGAACATAACTTCCTTTAAGGGGACTCATACACCTTAAAACCCATAAGATGTTCGAATAGGTGACTGTTGCAATAATTGGGATAACTTATTTATTTTAAAAGCAATCACTACCAACTTTTTACAGCTGACTACATAATATAGCTGCTTTCTGAAATAGCAATCAGAAAGTTTGTGTTGCCACAAATATTTTTATAATTTAATCCGTTTTGTGACAATATTTTTCGTCATGTTTCCAACTTGCGCGCACAGTTTAAAACATTCTGTTTCATAATTTAATTCCATATTTAATATATAGCTTTTATAACGTCTGGAAACTACTGTGAACCTAAAATTCTAAAAATTTCACGCTAAATTTTTATTTTATTTTGAGTTGAGTTTATAAAATGTATTTTATTAAAAAAATTTTTATGTATTCGTCCATAAAATTTTTAAATATTAAAATATTCATCAGATTGTTGGTTAAGTTAGAAAATAGTGCCCATATAAAGAATTCCATCCAATTTCAAGTATGTACCATTAGCCATTTTTAAAATATCATGCGCGCAAGGTGGAAACATGGCGAAATATTTTGTGACAAAGAGGATTAAATTACAAAAATATTTGTGGCAACACAAACTTTCTGGTTACTAGTTTCCAAAGTAGCTATATTATGTAGTCAGCTGTAAAAAGTTGGAAGTAATTGCTTTTAAAATAAATAAAATATCCCAATTCTCGCAACAGTTACGTATTCGAAGATCATGAGGGGTTTAAGGTGTACGAGTCCCCTTAAACTATTTGTAGCTTCGGACGTAATCTCTTTATTTCCTAAGCATTTTCAACTCACCGCTTCTTTTTCAGTATACCCCATTATATATACTATATATATATTCCTTATACTCAGCTCCTGGTGTCTTGCAAATATGTGGCTTACTAAGAGGTTTGTAAACCAGTCGATTGTCATTTATCACTAGATCATGGCATTTTTTGATAGATAGACCTGTGTGGAGAATCATTAATCCATTCTATTAGAATTAGATCATAATTATGTATTTTTCACGTACTGATAGTTTATGAGTAGGGAAGGGAAATAAGGAAAAAGAGTAGCTAATCTGGTATGTGTTTCATGACCTTACATGTAGACAAAAACTCCGAAATTTCTGATTCCATTCTAAAATTAAGAGAAAAATTCTTAAAGGGTTCAAATTTAACGTCGCATCAAAGGATTTGTTAAGGTTTTTTAATGCTCTCACTGATCGCACAGTCTACTAGTTTTTTGTTGGATACACTCGAGCTAATAACAAATTTGTTTTGGCCTTTTCAGCTTTATTATTAAGAATCGCTTGCTTCGAACTTAGGCCACATAAAATCATAAATTTTTTTAAAGCAGCTTATGTTATAATTTCGGTACATTGTTAAGTGTTGGTATACTACTTTCTATTTTTTTTAAATTTCAGTTTAATATATTAACATTAATTTTTATTAGTAATATGGCTTACACCACTTCTTTTTGGTATATTTCCGTTTTGCCGGCGCAGGGGATAAAGTCGCCAATAATGGTACAACTGATGCTAAGCTGAATATCCTTGCTGGTAACCTTTTACGTATCATTTTCAAAACAAGTCACAGCCATTCCTTATCAGATTGTTTCTTTCAATATTGGCACACAATTACGTAGAATTTTTACCAGATAGTTCAATTTTATGCTCTAAGGCCATTCGGGGCAATTAAGTTAATTAGGATGCAATCACACTGCTCACCCGAAGGCGAAAATATAAAAAAGGCAAGGTCAAGGGTTAAATTCATCAATTCTAATGAGAATGCATTAGCGAAGTAAAGCACTACTGTTTTACATAATTCCTGAGTAAGCTATTCGTACGAATTGAAATAATTCTTGCATTCCGAAATAAGATTTAACTTGAAATTAATGTAGATAATTACTAATTAGATTTTTGTAGCGTATATAACGCAAGATGAGATCACTTAAGGTCACGTGATATGAACCGGCGAATCAGGATGGTGAACCATGAAAGCATAGTAAATTCTTAAATTAATGTTTTTACAAATTTATGGTCTTTATTTATTGGCTTTTTATAAAATTTTAAACGATATTAAAATGTTTATGCCTTCAAAATAAAAAATTCTTAGAACTAACATTTTTTATGTGTATACTGTATGTCATTAAAGTCTGTTTGGCGAGATTTGCGCCGGCGAAAAGGAAAAGTACCCTTCTTTTTTCTTTTTACTAATTTTATGTGTTTTTAACTTTACATATGAAATATCAAAAACTAGCCTTTTGCGCGGTTTTAAATACTTAAAATAGTTGTTTCGATAGGTTAGTATAACTTATACAAAAATATTTAATACTTCTAGTTACAAAACTCATGATTATTAATGCATTTTTAATAAAATCAATCATATTAGGAAAAATAAAAAAATTTTTAAGAATAAGTTCTTTTTAAAGAAGAACATACATATATGCATATAAATTCTTCATTATTTAATTTCTTTTAAAAATAATACATGGTGATAACCTGTAGTGGCAAGAATTTAAAAATGATTCGGACAAAAAGTGAGGTTCGAAAGTAATAACATCATTCGTGTAAAACATAAATTAATAGAAATGAAACAAAAGACGTTTACCTTAGACAACATTTCCAGTTTCTTTAAAAGGAGATTTACTGCAAGGAGATTCTTGTTCTTAAAGAAGTGAAATGCAAAGTTTAGTTTACTTCCTATGGATAAAGAAAGACGCCTTCCAGACGTCTTTATATACTCCGTGAAGAGAGTACATGTAGGAAATTCGCAAATTATTAAATTTGAAAAATTCCAGGGCATAGTTTTGAAATTTGACCATTTTGTTGCCTATAGAAATATTGGTAACGAGGTCAACATTAGGTCGCCCTTAATCGAAATTAAGCAGAAATAAAAGCATCCATTTCTTTTTTCGAATAGATATTAATTTTGGATTTGTTTGGTTAATAACAGCGAATGGTGATTTGGGCGATAAGAAAGTCAAATAACTAGATCTGAGCTGGTTCTGAAACTACAAAATTTCAGCGTGAGTTAATGGATTGTAACTGTATTACACAGGAGGAATTTTTGAATGGTTATTAAAAGCATCTTTTATACAAATTATATTTATGTGTTAGTTATGTATACAAAAGCTGTAAATCATTACATATTTTTATGCTTTTTCCCGAAACAGGCATAAAAATGACAAAAATAGTGAAATACTGTAAAATATTGTCACATCTATCAAGAAAAAATCTAGAGACATGAAAATGCAGCAAAATGAAATTTCAAAAACTATAAATATATAAGTCAAATTTTAGTTAAACCCCCTTAACGAAGTCTTATACAAATCTTAGAAGAAGCGAACAGAAAACTGAGACATAGGTTATACGTTTATAAGCCAAATAGAAGTAATAATCAGGCTGTATTATGTTTTCAAATCCTAAAAGTAAATGCAAGAAAGCAAAATTAATCAATAAATTATAATTCAGTATTATAATTTGGTGAAGCAATCACTTTAGAATTCCCCGTACTAATTTTACATTAATTACAGAGGCAGCTTCTAGAGTATTTAAGGAAGTTTTCTTCAAAACTTTATTTTTAAGGTACATATATTTACCAGAAACAAAAGCGCATTATTCGGCCCCCTTATTTTATATAGTCATTATACCGGGCTGTTGAGACATTATATCGGGCTGATGAGACATTATACAGAGCTGTTATACCGGGGTGTTGAGATATTATACAGGGCTTATTGTAACCTTATTCAGGGCTTTAGAAGCCTTCTTTATTAATTATAACAATGCTTTAAATATACATAAAAATTATCGATTGCTCCTATGATGCATTCAGGATAACATTCCTGATGATGAGATAGCTAAACCGCCGAGGAGTTCAACCATTTTCGAGCTGCAAAGTATATTCTCCTTCCTTACCGCTTGCATTTGTGATGTAACTGGAAGCACATCAAGCTAGCAGTAGGGTGTTTCCGGAGTTTGAATCCCAGAGCTGATTTCCAGCTTCGGCACACCTAAAACCTCTACTGTGGCTCCTGAATTAAAATATGGCGGACGAAATTCCGTGGCCACTAGGATTTGGCTATTGTGGCCCAAGGCACTCTAACGGCCCTTTAAATGAGATATAGTGTAAGGTATTTTCTCCATGCTCACCTCATGCCTTTGTAATGTAACTAGAAGCATGTCCGGCTAGCAACTAGAATGTCTGCAGTTCGAATCCAGGCGAAGAGCTCTTACATTTCCAGCTTCGTCAAACTAATTACTCTGAAAAGTATCTCTTAAAAATCGTTCACTTGACCAAATATTAAAATGAAAGAAACGCCTTTTTTTGTACAGCATTTTTGTCGCAGAGCAACTCAAGAGGATATATGGAACTCAAGAGGATAAAGGTAATAATTGTGAGATTTTTGAAACATTTAGGGTAATTGCAAAATGAGAGTGGTAAAGAAAGTTGGAATTTGCAAAAAGACCTTAAAAAAAGAATGTGACATGTCAAGACCCTAAAAATACTGCATGATATTCCAGACAGCAAGCGAAAAAATGCTGATCAAAAAACGTTTTTGCTAATTAGCTATTTTTAGACAAGAGACTATAAAGAACAAAATAAAATAATGGTGTTGTTAGATGTCGTTAATCTTTCGATTTTCCTTATCCGTATTACTGCACATTCAACACTTCTGTTCCAAAATACAAATTCTTCAAAATACATAACTACACTGTTGCTCAATAGTCAAAAAAGGAAAAGCACGGAATAAAATAAAAGCTCTGCAATGGATATGCGTGAAATTGGGGGATCTAAGATGTTGGTGTGGCATTACTAGACCACATAGCAAACAATAAAGCACAGACATGCAAAAACGACCATCTCATAGCGAAAAACCAAATAGGTCGGAATAATGTGCAATGGAAACATTACGCTAATAACGGATATGATACTCTCTAGCTGAAATGTATGCTTCACAACGGTGAGGCAAGCTGGCAATAGCGTCGCTGATCACTTATTGTGGCAGTAAAGCCCATTTCTGTAGTAATGCATGTCGGAGCTCGTTGAGGGTGCCTGGCGGCCCACTGCGACGTGCTATCCGTCGTCCCAATATATCTCACACATGCTGCATGAGACTCAGGTCCAGTGATCTAGCAGGCCACTGCAGATGTGGAATGTTTTCGCTCTCCAGATGACTCCGCACCGTTCTACGCAGGCGGGTGTTATCGTCCATAAATATCACTCAGGTAACTATTGCAGCAATAAAAAGACACACAAGAGGGAGTTGAATTTCGTCGAGATATCGGACGGCTGTGATGGAACTACCAGGGATCACGTAAAGGTCGCTACGGCCGTTCATTTCTATCCCAATACATACAGGTGAGCCTTCTTTCCCTGTAATGGTATCTTTCGACGATGTTTAGCGCCCGATAGCGTGTCCCTGGCTATCCTCATTGTCCTTCAGTAATCCTTCTGGATGCTAAATCGGGACTCATCCGTAAACAGTAAGTGGAAGTACGTAGCACCACATCTCTGGTGTCCAACTGCGATGTTCACGGGTCCAATTCAACCACGCTCTGACATCCTTTGGGAACAAAGGAACTCAAACCAGAGGTCGTCGGGAGTACAGTTCCCCTTCATAAATTCGACGCCCACAGTTCGGGAGAATATGCAGGAGCAGAGAGATGCGACCCAGCTGTGGTGCTGTTAATGATCTATGCCGTGTTGCATATAGCAACGGGAAGCGATCGTCTGCCGTTATGGTAATCCTCCGGTGTCCAGACCCACGTCTTCTACAGGGATTTTGATCTCTTGGTAACGATTCCACAGCTTATTGATACACAACGATGCACATTCAGCTCTCTCGCAACAGCGGATTGTCTTACACCAGCTGCAACATCTCGATAGCTCTCCAACGCATTTCATTGTCCAAATGGTGTCTTTGGCTCACGCTTTTTTTTTTGGTTATTTAGGATTATATGGATCTATCGCTGCTTGCGAACTGACCATTGGCCCGGCAGACTGCGGGATTGTGTTTTATATTAATTTTGGTTGCCTATTTGCATTCGGCGGGGCAACGCGACTTCATATGTAAATTCTATGTTTTAATCCCTTTTTTTACATTTGTACCTTTCCTTTTAGCGTTTGTTGCTTATATTTTGAGCATGACTGTATATCCTCCTCTCCAGTTTCCAAAGATTTTGTACCAAAAGTCTACTTTCAAAAGCTCTGATCCATTTATGGATATGTTCAACTTAATGATACTTCAAACTCAGATCTGTGAAAAGTATAATTATGAATTTTTATACATGTAAAATAATTTTTCTAAAATTGTATGTAAATTTAGTATCTATTGTATAATATAATATGAACGGATTCGGAATGGGAAGCACCTAAGATTTTGGCGGATAGAAGCTATTCTTCTTCTAATGATATCTCAGTTCTGTAAAGTTTCGGTCCCCGACGAGAATCATCTCAATAGTACCCTATTGCCATCTGTCCATCCATATATAGTGACCTTAAGATACGTTCGCTTAGGAATGCTTGAACTCTAAAGAAATTTTTACAAATTCTGTATATATATATCAATAATTTTAGGGGAATTATATGCGAGATTGTTGTATTTTTCTGTTTAATGTAACATGAAAATCTACTCGTATATGAGAGAAGCTTGCCGGAAAAGTAAGAATACAGTTGCAAGTCAATTGACTATTTCAGTAATTTTTCGAGATATCGCCAAGCTAGCAAAGATTTTCACGATTAATTTTCGTCGCCACATTCAGCGAGAAATCGCCAAAAGTCGATAAACTTGGTGACCATTTGGTGACACTTTGGTCTGGTTACTGTTTCACCACAATAGGTATTGCATTTGAATAATTGTAACTGGTTTTAGATGCTCTGTAACCGTACTCGGCTTGACTTTTTCCAGCAGAAAGTCCTAGAAATATCTCGACGGCCTAAATTCAGAACTAACTCTCCTACCGCAAACTCTTAAAACTGCTGCTTAAGTACTGTTTCCAACTAACTTGGATTTGCTTAGTACTATTCCCAACTAACTTAGAATGTCATTAAAATTTACATTCTGTCAGTGAATTGAAGTCAGAAGGGAAAAGAAAATCTCTTAAATTAAAAATGATTGTTTAGAAAAAAATAGGGTCTTTACAGTAGTTAGTCGTAAACAATAAACTGATATTCAATACTGTTAGATACTTATTAAAATATCTAACAGTATTTAATAGCAGTTTATTGTTCTAAGTTTCTAATAAAATTCAATATCAGTTTATTGTTGTTCTAAAAAGAATATTTATTAGGCAGTACAAAGAAGTCATACAGCATCCACGTCAAAAATTTTTAATATTTACTGATAACATTGATATTAGCTCAAACATCGTTTGTTTCCAATTTCAACTTTGTTCAGGAATTCAGTGTTGTTCTGTAGCAAACATGCAATTATTTCTGTAGTAAAAATCTTCTTTTTTTATAGCACACAGGGCGTTAGCTCAGAAGGGCTATTAATTTCGTTTTGATATTTTGGGTTTATTCACTATAAACGGTAAATCACTTTTTAAATTTTTGCCAATAAGTATTAGAGCCCTGTATCACATTTAAAAAAATTAAATAATGAAGAATCTGCATAAATATATGTGTGTTTCTCGCATTGTGGTAAAACAACGGGGAACTGCTTCAGTATGGTCCAGCTTCAAAGTCTGGCGAAATTTTTTTGGCTACAAAGCACGTGAAATATGTTGTTTTGGAAAATGGTTATTATCGAGATTTTCGACGAAGCTCCACGTTTCAAAAATGACCCCCATCTTGATTTCACCAGAAATCGTGGATAATAGAAATAAATTTACGACTATTATACACGATTTTTAGAAAAATATATTACGCAATGATTAATGAAAAAGGTTAAACGGATGTAACTTTAAAAACAATGCCGGAAAATCTCACCTTTGCTTGGCTTTCCCAAACGTAAGATACCTTTGCATGGTATTTTACATTTTTCACAACAAACTTTATCCTTCAATAATCCACAATCCATCAAAAATCCTCTAAACAGTTCATACCCTCTTCTTAACTCATACGTAAAAATATCTGTTTGGAATGCCTGGGTTTCCCAAACTTTGAAAACTCCTACCTTAAATTTTCCTTTAAAATCTCCTGATTCTAATTAAGTATCAGGAGCATCACTAACAGCAAGTTTAGAGCAATCCATAATTAAATCTTATCTTCAAAACAGTATTCTCCATAATATCTGAGCGTTAAACAATAGCCGAAAATAGTGTTACGAATTTTGTGTTTAGATAGTTAATTTTAGTAGAATTCTAATTAAAAATGTTGTATATTCTCGTGCAATGTAGCGCCAGACAAATTTTAAGAGAAGGCTATGCCGGAAAAGCAAGAATACAGGGGTAAGTGCGTTTAAATTTGAGTAAATGGATATCTCGGTAATTTGTATTGAAATTGAATAAATGTAATTGACCACTACGTTAGCTGTAACTGTAATTCCATCCTCTTTAGAAATCAGAAATTTACGGTTGTTTACATTGTGTCGCGAAATAGTATGGGTTACCACATGCTCGTAAACCAGTGTGGGTTACCACATCATATCATTTATCGCCATTCTTGGCAATATTTTTTGGTTAAAACTCTGGGTGGGCTTTACTAAAGCTTTACCAACAACGGTACCTAAAGCCATTAAATTTTGAATAACGTACGTCTCCACACGAATATGGGCATCAGGAAGCCCAAATTTGGAATTTGTTTTATTATGCGTTTCATATTTTGTAAAGCATTTATGAGTTTTTGATTAAGAAACTTTAACGAATTTGTAAAATTTGAATTCGAATTTTGTAAAACTTTAACGAATTTTGGATTAAGAAACTCAACGATATCAAAGCGAGCTTTGCAACACTGTACGAAAAACAAAACGTTTTTATCTCCAGCGAGCGAGACTGTGTATCGGAAATTCTAAAAATATGCTCATTTTAAAATTATTTTGCGATATTGCTGTTGAACTGAATTTAATGGTTTAAGTGCGAAGAACATGATATTTAATAAATAAAGGTAACACACACACACACACACACACACACAAAAAAAAAAAAAAAAAAAAAAAAAAAAAAAAAAATTAAAAAAACGCCTCTTTGGGCGTACTGTAAAATCTGAAAGCTTTCAGTTTTTTTAATATATATATATATATTAACTATTTTTTTTTTATTCTCTACCTATGCAACGAAACCTCGTGAATCAGCTTCAGAGAATATCGAAAAAGACCAGGAAGGTTTTAACGATAGTATCAAAACACTGAATTTACTAAACACTATGAATACTCATTTCAGAATGAATTTTTCTCTGCCATTTGAAATATAATATATATAATATATATATAGAAATTACGTAGTCGAAATCTGAAAAGCAATTTTTATTGCAAATTGTTTGTAAAAATAATTACATTTCGAAACAGGGTTAACTTTTAAAAATATTCAAATATGCTTTTATTGCATTTGCGCCAGGGAAACGTTTTTTCACGTCTGGCACTGACAACTGAAAAATGAGCATAAGGATTTAAAGTACTTCCATATTTAATCGCTGTACGGAACTTCGCTTGCTATAAGGTTATAACAATTAACTTGCTAATAAAAATCTTTCTGTTCCCAATCATGTTTCCAAACACTGAATTTCCGTATTCTTTTAATGATGGACTCAATCTTGTTTTATTAAGTAAAACGTCCTTCGCTTTGTTAGTTTCTTAATGGATGCTTGGGATTTACAAAAAAAAAAAAAAAAAAAAAAAAAAAAAAAAAACACGAAGAAAGCTGTCCACATTTTACACGTTCATGGAAGATTAAAGATATATTCGAGAAGCTTCTAAATCCTATGGTATGAAGTTATGCATGACTAAAGAACAATTTTGTAGAGGTGGAATGCTGAGAAAAGCAGACATCCCAACAGGTAAGGGTGAGAGCGCGAAAGTAGTTTGAAGAAAACTGAATGGTATTTACTACAGGAGCCATTCTGTTTCTTTACTGTGAATGCAGGAACCTGAATGCAATTGATTTTTGCTTACAAAAATGGACATCAAGCCTAAAGTGGTGACATATTGGAAAAATTATCGTCAAGTTTTCTAAGTTCATATCGCTTTCACGTATTTTGTCGCCAACCAAAGTTCTTGAGAACAGTTCATACGCAGATATTAAAATATGTATTTTTGTCTGAACTTGGATTTAAAAATAACTTTCGTATGAGAAATTACATTTTGAATTTAATCCAGAACTTGAAATTTAAATTCAGATTTTGTCTCGAAGCCTACTGACCTCTCAGATATGCAGAAGTATACCTGAGGATAATTTTTATGTGCTTTACATTGAAAGCTGGGAAAATGGGACTTTTCTTATGTAAAAAGTTTCATTATACAAAGTGTGAATAATTTTGAATGAAATTAATAATGATTCCTTAGTTAAGAACTCATTACCAAGAATAGGGACAAATGAATGTAATGCAATACAATTTATTTACACAGAAGATATAAATTAAATATGAATCGAAAAGCCATATGAATCCTTGTGTCCGTATACTGTGCCAAATGTTTTACATGTTTTAAGTTGACAGCACTGTGGAGCTATTAGTAAGCTCCAAATCTACTGTCATAACCTTTCACAACTCCTTCGTAAACTGGCGCTGCGTACCCTGCTTTTCCACCCAAAGTAGTACCATAGGTTACAATTCCGGGAGCTGCAGCTTTGGGCATCATCGCTACCATTCCTACTGGACTTAAATGGGCTGCGACTCCGGCGTTAACAATTTTAGGCACCGCTGCTGCAATTTCTATTGGAGCTACAACTGCTTTTGGAGTTAAATGGGCACCAGCTCCACCAAGGTAAGGATGAGCAGAAGAGATCATTTTGACAGCCGCTGGATCTAGAGGAGCAGTACCATGCTCATTAGTCTTCACTTCAGCTCTGTAACCAGCTTTATCAGCGATGTAATTTACCTGGCGATGAATTCCTCGTTCATCAGTGAAGCCATAGCTGCCCTTCACAACACCAACTCCATCACCAGTTTCTTTTCTATGTTGTTCACCGTGCTTGTCCTTTACCGAGTAGCCGAAGGAGTATGGCTGAGGCATGTGAATCTGAATGAATAAACAAGGGATGCATTTCAATAGACTTTATTAGTGCCTCTCAAGAGACTTTAAAAGTGCATATCTAATATGATGAATTAATACAAGTACAAAAAAAGATTTCAGCAAATGGATTTTTTTGTAATATAATTATTATCATAAATTTTGAGTTCAAGCAAAGTGAGAAAATGTTCATTCCGTAAGAAATAATTAGATACTGAAGTTTATGTCTCTTCTAGAGGAAAGGAGGACTTACTTGCTCTTGAACGAATCAAAACTTTGTAATTCTTACTTCTTAACTAGCATAGGAACATGTTTCTGTTAAATTCAGATAATTTCATTATAAACTATTAAAAATGTTATTTTCGTAATTTCGTTTTACTACTCGAGAATTCCCATATAGTACAAAGAATTTAGCATTGAAATATGAAGATACGATTGATTAATGCATATCACTGAGCTTCAAATTTACCCGATTTGGGAACTCGCAAAATGCATTGATAATATGCTAATACTAGGCCAATTTTATATTAGAAATGAAAAGAAAACAATTACAATTTTCACTGAAGAACATGAACATAAGTTTCTTAAGGGTAAAAGGTCCCTCTCCTTTCCGCATGCCTTCGAGCTGTAATAGGAGGCATATTCTAAGCGTATTCGAGAGGTCCAGGGATCGGGTCCCGTCAATGGCACTGCATATTTTTCACGTCTCCTGCTTCAGAAAAACCCTAATGACTCTATAAGTGGCACCCGAACTTAAAAGGTGACGGAAGATAATTCGTCACCACAGCGATTCGGGGATTGGGTCCCTTCATTCTCAGCTGCCCTTTAAAAGGCAGAGTATGTAAGATACTTTATTCCTGCCACTACGTCATCGGCTTATGGCAAAATTGTTACTAAGCCGGATACATCGCTCTTCGCGCAATACCTACAGCGAAAGCGAAAAAAAAAAAATCTGAAATGTTTCAGATTTTAAATTACGTCCAAAGGGGCGTTTTTTAACATATTGTGTGTTACCTTTCTTTATTAAATATCATGTTCCTCGCACTTAAACCATAAGATCCAGTGCAACAGCAATATCGCAAAATAGTTTTAAAACGAGCATATCTTTAGAATTTCCGATACAGAGACTCACGCGCTGGAGATAAAAATGTTTTTTCTGCACAACGTTGCCATTGCTCGCTTTGAAATCCTTGAGTTTGTTAATCAAAAATTCGTCAAAGTTTTAAAAAATAGGAAATCGATCATAAAACAAATTTCAAATTTCAAATTGGTCTTCCACATGCTCATATTCGTTGGAGGATTACGTTATTAAAAATTCGATGACTCTATGTACCGTTGTTTTATCACAATACGAGAAATATACATACATTTATGCAGATTTTATTATTTAATTTCTTCAAATATAATGCAGGACTCTAACATTTTGTGGCAAACAGTTTGAAAAGTGAACCGACATTTATGAGTCCGACGCAAAATGCCAAAACGAAACTAATAGTCCTTCGGGATTCAAATCCCTTTGGACTAAAAAAAAAAAAAAAAAAAAAAAAAAAAACCTTTTTCCCTCCTTTCCGAAAACCTTCGTGGTGTAACTAAAAGCATACTCGATGCGTATTCTAGAGGTCCAGGGCTCGAGTCCAGGTGAGGGCACTGCACATTTTTCAGATCTCCAGCATCAAAAACCCTAATGACTTTACAAGGTTAATTATTAATTTAGAATTCACAACAACATTACATGTTTAACAGCTAGGGTGTCTTTACCCTTTTTTGCACAAAATAATTAAATCAGGCTGCGTTGACGTGATCTCCAAGCGAATTATAAATTCGATATTTCAGTCTACTTTGGTTTTGTTACTACATAGGTTGGAAATGATTTTTTCAGAAGAAATGCACGAACTTCAGGCAAACAGCTTGATGAGAGATTTATTTTCCTTTAATGGCCATAATCATCTCTGCTTACGCTTGATTGAACAGAGCTCTGCTTATAAAAACAGATCTGTTTCATACTATTTCGGGTAATAGTAATGACAGAAATACATGTTATTGAAACGTGCGAAGATGTAGTAAGATTTGCTAAGAAACACATACATTTCAGTATATGTGCTTTTAAAATAAGTCAGTATCTTAGAAAATATGCGTATTGAATAAAAAAAAGCGGAAGTGATTAATTTTTAGGGTATAACGGCGAATTGCTCAAAATTATTTTTTGAGGGTTTTTCATTAATATCAAACATTTTAGTAATCATTAAAAAATGATAAAAAGCTAAATGAGAATTTTAAAACTGCCCACATATCTCTGAAAAACCACAAAATAATAATCTTTAGACATATATTTATGAGAAACAATTTCAAAATTTATTCATTAACAAAGTTTTAAAATGACTATAGTTAAAGGTTTTGAAATCTAACGCGAAATGTAATGTATGATCATCTAAGAAGTACATGAGTTGCATTCATAAAATAATTCTCTTAGCTATACAATATTACACAAAAATAAGGATTTATAATCTAAATTTGTAGCAGAATTTCAAACGTCTTTGAAATTTAAAGAACATTAAAATTTTTTTACTTCTTCGATGACGGGAACAAATGCTTCCACAGCATACAGAGCTACTACTGTCAAGATTAAAGAGACCTGAAAAAAGATAAATATGATAATGAGGAATTAAAATAAAAAGACTTTTTTTTACCAAGTGAAAATTAAATACATGAACTGATAGTAATACCAAACATTAAAAAATTCAAATATAAATGCAGGAACCGGAAGATCGCATTAAAAGTTAGATTTTGTTATTTGTTTAGGTAAATATTTTAAAATTTGACATTGCTAAAACTTGAATATTATCGTCATTTAAAACACTTCTTGTAACCGAACCTTTAATATAAACTCTGCTGCTAATATAAACTGTTGGACTAACTGTACCAACAAGGGTGCTCTCTGGTGAGTAGCCAGAGAAGTACTTCAGTAAAAGCCAAGTGATTAACCTAATAGGTTGTATCAGACTCTTGCTCTGTAATTTTCTTAAAGTTAAATGTAACGTCTGTGTGTAACTTAAACCTGTTAATAAATAATTGTTACACTCTAAAGAACTGTTTATGACCCCATCCAAAACGAGAGATATCCAAAACGAGAGATATCCAAAACGAGAGATAAAACAATATGAAGCAGACAGTAAAACAAATTCCAAATTCAGGCTTCCAATTGCCCATATTCGGGTGGAGGACTACGTTATTCAAAATTTGATGGCTCTAGGTACCGTGGTTTTTCACATGCGAGAGATATGCATACATTCATGCATATTCCTCATTATTTTTAATTTCTTTAAACATGATACAGGCGAAAACACTTGGTAACAGCAATTTAAAAAATGAAACGGACATTTATACTAAACCGACGCAAAATGCTGTTTCGAGACTTTCTGGGCTAAAAATAATTAAATAAAGGTAAAAAGATTTAATCGAATTTGGAAAGACTCATGAAAATATATTCACAGACTATTGAAGATTTTTAGTAATTCTAACAGAACCATATATAATGAACCCACATTAACACAGGGAATAACAATAATTAACGATAGAAAACGAATTTGTTCCTGTTTTACTGGCATAAGATTTATGTTCTCTAACACGAACTTTTAAATTCGTTTTGGTTCCACCCCTGTATACCGAACCACATCAAAAGAGAAAGTTATGTGTTCTCTTCAAAGGAGATAAAAGCAGCACTAAAAATTTCAGATTTGAAATAAACTTGTAGCGCTTAAATAACAGAAAAGATAAGAAATTTTTACGTGTTCTACTTTAAACCTACAATAAAAAGATGCAAAATGAACCAACCTTATAACACATCTTGATTTGGAATAGTAACTCCGTTTGCAGTGAGAGTGAAGGGGAAGAAAGACTTGTTGGAGAGCGGAGACTTGGAAAGTCTTTTTATACTCTTTCATGGTCATTAAACGAAATTTAGTTTTGAAAATTTGCGAAATTCTGGAGCACATTTCTGAAATTTTAATGATACTGAGCTAGCTTAATGGTATTTCCCCAAGGCCAAAAAATGACCGCCACGATAGTTAGAACTGTGTTGAGAGAAAGTCAGGCCATTAATGTTACTCGGCATCATTATGTGGGAGATGTTTTTTACTTTCTGTTTGCGGTATAATCTAATATCGTTAAACAGTTCATTGCCTGCTAAACATTTCATTGCCGAGAAGTATCGAAGGTAGAAGTTTTATTTATTTATTTTCAAAAGTTTCTTATTTTGACCGCCAACATGATGAAGGCGAAATAGTGGCTACTATGTTAATGAGTTTAAAAAACACTGCGTTCTTTCATTCTAATATATGAAAATTAACTATTGGAAAAGTTTGAAAATGATGCTTTTCTATCTTTATTATAATTCGCGTATGAAAAATATAAAATTTGCATTTAAATACTTAAGTTGCATCTAGTTTTATTAGCCCAAAGGAGCGTTAGCTCAGAAGGGCTATTAGTCTCAGAACTTGCGATTCGTGGCGTTTTACTGTAAAAGGCGGACATATTTTTACATTGTTGCCACCAATGTTATCGCCTGTATTATATTTAAAAAAAATTAAATAATGTGGAATCTGCATGAATGTATGTATGTTTCTCACATTGTGAAAAAAACGACGGTACCTACAGCCTTCAAATTTTGAATAATATAATCTTCTAGTGTAATATTTGATTCACAAATTCAATAATTTCAAAGAGAGCGATGGCAGTACTGTATGAAGAAACATTTTATATCTCTAGCGCGCGAGACTATTTATCGGTTATTCTAAAGATGGTGTTTTTAAATTTCTGTTTAATTAAATTTTATGTGGTTTAAGTGGGAAGAACATGACATTTGATAAATAAAGTTAAGACACAAAACGTTAAAAAAATGCACCTTTGGGCGTAATATAAAATCTGAAAGCTTTCAGATATTATTTATAAAATAGCTTTCAACAGTTAGTTGCTTATGTATAAATCTAAGTTGCATTTCATTGAGATATTATTAATTTATCGCCTGAATTCGATTTTAATTGATATCTGTATGATGTGCTTTTTCCCTTTGGGCATTTTTAGAATTTCACAGTAATATGAGAATTTTTTAATAACAGTCTCATATTACTCATATAATTTTAAAAAGTAGGATTTTTATATAAAACGGATCAATTCATTTTTTAACAGAAAAAGTAGTTTACTCTATTGGAAGGTTTAAGTTGATCGCCTTTAACTTAAGCGCCATAGCATTTGCAAAATTGTATGCTTGAAATTAATTTTTCTTATTCATTTTCTTTGAAAGTGAAATACATAAAGTTTTTTGCCAAACAGGATGACTCTAAAACTAATCATTCCAAAGAGCAGTAGCATAGATACATAGGGAATGCCAAAAGTGAATTATAACAGTAACTTCCACCTAGCATAACCGCGCAATAGTACTGGCTGATGCAAAGAAGGGAACTCATGTCCAGTTTTTTTCCTAAAAAAATATCATTGGAGTATTTGTAATAAGACACGCATCTTACCGTAAAAACAAAATGATGCATTAAACTTAGTACAATTATTGTGGACAAAGCGTCTGAGTTATCTCGAAATTCATCCCGATGTGGAAACTGCCGGACATTATGCAGCCATAATCAAATGATTCAAACGCAATAGCATAAACATTACTGATGCTAATAGGCAAAAAACGGCTCCAAGTTTATTATTTAATTATGGAAAAGCACTCGAGGGCTATCTGAGTCAGTGAAGGGATGCTTTCGGGGAGGACTTTCTAAGGAAAACTGGCTCATATGCACATTAAACATGGGGAAAACAACGAAAAAGGCCCATGCAGCTAGTCTGTTAGCAAGGGTTCGAACCCTGCACCGAATTACCAGTGTTCAGCGAATTTACCGCTTCTCACGTAGAAAGAAAGAAACAAGAAATCACATATTTATTTGCTACAGGTTACTGAAGTCATTCACAGCAAGCACGGAGTGACGGAGTCAAAACTTTACATGCATCTATATGAGAGGATTTATAATAATAATAAATAATTTACTACAAATAAACAGTTGAAAACAGCGATTCCATATCAGAGGGATCATGCCTCCATGACTAAGGAACATATTTCTATGGTCCAGTAACTGTATTTAAAGAAACGTGCAATTATGCAGAAAAATAATGTTATGTATATCGGTCGTAGAGTGTTAAATTGTGCTGCTGAAGAGAAATTGCTCAATCTACAGTAATCAAGTGTATTTATTTTTCAAATCCCACTCACATTTGCATTGATAATCTTTTCCATATTAATTTCTTTTATGTGAGCTCTGTGTGTATGTATGTATGCGATGGAAAAGTGGGATAAAAGTTTTAAAATGTCATAAGATTTTTTATTCCAAAGGGGCAATTTGTACAGAATTTTTAATATCGTTTTGGCATTTTGCGTTGATTCACTACAAGCATTGTTTCTATTTTAAAATTGTTGCCACCAAATATTACCGCCCTGTATTATATTTAAAGAAATTCAATAATAAAAAATCTACATAAATGTATGTATGTTTCTCGCATTGTGATAAAAAAAAATGGTACCTAGAGCCCTCCAATTTTGAATAACGTGATCCTGCTGCGAATATAGACATACAAAATACAAAACACTACAAAAAATCTTAAGAAAACGTCTCTTTATACGTAATTTAAAATTTGAAAATTTTCAGATTTTCTTTTCTTTCTTTCTTTCTTTTTTTTTTTTTTTTTTTTTTTTTGTGTGTGTGTGTGTGTGTTTGCAAAGTGTATGATAATTAAATTGTGTAAGGTGGTAATATTTAAAAAATCTGCTGTTTGTTAGCAGCTGTTGCTTAAAATGCCATGCTTTTTACTATTTCTTGGCTACTTTTTTAACTGTGGAAAATTTCTTGTTATATTAAAGCCAATCAGAGTTTGTAAAAGTAGGTTAAAACTAACGCATTGGGAAAATCGATTAAATTCTTGATTACTAAAGCGCTTTATTCTATTTCCTTATACAGCCGGATAAAAACTATACTGTCTTAATAGGATTTATTTTCTAAATGTTACTTTGCATCTTTATTTGACTTACAAAATAGAATAAAAGAATTAGGTAACCGAATGAAGAGTAACTCATGTTACCAAACTTTGAGACCTTTATAATACTTGATAGTACTTTTGAATTAAAAATGGATGATAGACGGAGAGATTATTTGGTAAAAATAATATGGAATATTGGCATTCTAAGAAAAGTTTATCCTTACAACTCAGAAACAATAAAAAATTGATAGTGATTCCACCATCTCAAAGTCTTGAGGACAATCAATGTGGCATCAATTATCGAAATTTATTGAAAATCATTAAAAACAGTCCAATAAAGAGATGTAATCAGTGAACGATCCACTAAAGCAATATGAGGAAATTTTCCCTCAAGTTAATACATAATTGCGACTCTATTCATTTCATTCTAAAGTTCGTATGTAATTGATATATGTCGATTGAATATGCTATCGCAAATAAGCCCGATGTTAACGATTTTGCCAGAAGTCTTAGAAAATGTCTTAAATTCCTGTACCAAAATTGAAAGCGAGATTTTTATTTTATTTATATAGACGTGTTTATTAAAAATATGAAAATGCATAAAATTATTTATCGTAACTTTTATTTTCTATAATTCAAATTTCGTTCAAAACCTCTGTTATTGATTTATTGTTGGAAAGTTCGTTCGTACATCGCAGATGCATATTCAACTCATTTTGATGGTTACAGCCGAAAACATCGCGGCAAAAACATCGCGAACTAAAACGTCGCGGAGAAAACAACGCAAGGCGAAAACGTCGTGCTACAAAACATCGTGGGAGAAAATATCGCAAAGAGAAAACATCGCAGTTCTAAAACATCGTGGTAAAAAATATCGTCGTCGAAAATAAAGCGGTTCAAAAACTTCGCAGTTTAAAAACATCGTTGTCGAAAATATCGCGGTAAAAAATGAAGTATCGACAAATCATCGCAGGTCGATAACCCGGACATGCTTTTTTCAGGCTTTAGTAACTGTAAATGGATATTTTCATAATGATTTATGAGCGCAAGATGGAAAGAAAGATAATTTTACTTTTATATTTTTATTAACTAATAATTTTTTGCTGGAAAAGTAAGAAGGAAATTTAAGCATAGAAAATTAAGGCAACTTATAGCACCTAATTAGAATTTTAAACTGACATAGTTAACTAACAAAAGTCATTAATAAATCATTTTTGATAAAGTTTTTACTGGTAATTTTTCATTAAAAGTATAATCTAAAAAAGATTAGAAAAAGGAAGATAAGTAATTGCATGATCTTATCTATTAAAAAATTGCGAAGTTAATTATGAGATTATTTTTTTCACTTTTGTTAAATCTAATAATCTTATAATGAAAATTATTTCTTGTTCTGCTTCAGTTTATTCTTAAGTTTCCTTCTTCGATTTTCAGCAAAATTTATTAGTTAATCAAAAATGTGAAAGTAAAAATCTTTCTTTCCATCTTGCGCTCACAAATCATTATGCGAATATCCATTTACAATTATTAAAGACTGAAAAAAGCATGTCTGCGATGTTATATCGTCCTGCGATAATTTGTTGACATTTTACTTTTTACCGCGATATTGTCAACAACGATGTTTTAAAACTGCGAAGTTTTTGAACCGCTTTATTTTCGACGACGATATTTTGTACCACGATGGTTTAGAACTGCGATGTTTTCTTTTTGCGATGTTCTCTCCCACGATGTATTGGACGTTTTCGTTCGCGATGTTTTTGCCGCGATGTTATCGGCGGACACCCATTTTGATAGTTGTTTACTTACTATTTGGGAAATAAACATGCTATTACTATTTGGGAAATAATGATACCATTTTGGCTCTTTTTTGACTGAAGCTGTATTCTCAGGAAAGTACTTTAGAGTTCTATTGACGTTTACGCATGCCATGCAATAATTTATAAAAAAAAATTATAAGAATTCCGTAATAATGTTAAAAGTTTGCAGATGTGTGAAGCTACGTTAAACTAAGGTGACTCGTAGAATATTTCTGGATTATAAAATCCTCGCCGTACACTTCACGTATACAGGAGAAAAGCTTCAGTCATATTGTTACTTTTGCGAATGTATAAATTAAATAATATCTAAAACGATCTTCATTGCTTATGAAATTTAATTCCTATGTAGGGATTTTAGGAAAATTAGCACTGTTAGTATTCTTTTATATCATAGCTAAGGTGCCCAACTAGTATTCTTTGATAGCATATATCTAAAAGAATTTGGCTGCCTTATTTAACTGATTATTACATTAAGTAATTAAATAAATCTTTACTCTAAAATGGCTTCATGTGCGTGTGTGTGTGATTATGGCAAAGCCTCGAGAGCTATCTGCCTAAGGGGAGGTACGTCTTTGTGAAGGACTTTCTAAGGGAAATTGGCTCGTATACACGTTATACATGGGGAAAACTACGAAAACGCCCATGCAGCCAGCCCGTTCGCGGGATTCGAACCTCAGACCGAATACCAGTGTTCAGCGACCGCTCGGCCGCTGGTGGGCAAATGGCTTCATGAAAAACTAGCTTTGAGAGCTTTCGTACTCACAGAATAATTTAATTATTTGTCTTATAGAAACAGCTCAGCTTCCAGAACTGGCAACAATGCTTAGGAAAGAATTCGCTGTTTCCAGATTTGGTATCTGGTCATCAGGCAGTTTGTTCTTTGAAAGCGTTTAGAGTTTGTTATCACTACATATGTTAAAATTCTTGTATGCCCACTAAAATACATATAACAAATGCAGATGAAACTTAACACTCATAATTAAGTTTATAAACGTAGTTTTCTAGACATTATTTTGCCTGTTTTCCCTCTCATTAATTCGTTAAGAAGAACTGTAAATATACCAAGTTTTGCATGTCGTTTGGAAAAGCTGAAAGCTTGTTCATATAAATTGTGTCGAAAATTAAACTAAGTTTTATATTAATCATAATTTCATATTTAATATAATATTAATATTTCAAATAGCCATTATCTTGATTTGTTATCAAGTGTTATTAGTAAGTGCTATTATGTTTTTAAAATAGACATCAAATTTTACCGAAATTTCTGATTCATTGAAAGATAATGTGAAAGAATATATTGTTTTTAACTTCGCATACAAAAGAGTGCATGAATGTCGTAATTCTAACACATACTAGAGGAAGAAATTAACAATATTCGAATGGCTTCGAGATAGAAGATAACTTTCTTGTCTTCCGAAACATACTTTCCATGCGTTATTCCCCCTTCTTTGTAAAAGTGCCTAATTCCTCCCTTTCTTCCTATTCAATTATTTCTGCTGCAGAAGTTTTAAACTCTCAAACTGCATTCTTGTTCATATTTCTGACCCCGATATTACATCAGATAGTGTTGGTATTAAACTTCTTTATTTTACTCTTTGTTTTTGATATTTGGTAATAAGATGTATTATATTTTAGATATGAAGTAGCAAGCTTATTAAAAATTTACTGTATAATCAATCTGGGTTTATTGAAATTTCTTTGTTTCTTTTTTCTGTTAGGAATACATTAATCAATGAATCAAGCAAATACGATAGCATCAAACATCTTTATTCATATTCAAAGGTTAAAGCAAAATCAGCGCATAGAAAAAGATAAACAGAAATTTCATGAACTTATAGCTCAGAATAGAAGTAACTGCTTTAGAACGTTGATGATAGTCTTTTCAGTATTGAGCTGATATGTATTTCTATATATATTTGCAACGTAAAGAACTTTCAAACTCTTTAAATGTGAAGGCATTGTTTTCGCTTCAGAGAAAGCAAGCTATTGAGCAGAAAAGCGGCAGGAAAAGAGTTATTTACAAAAATGTAACTTGCAAATCCACCAGAGAAGAGAATGTCCAGCGAAACAAGACACCAGGTTATGCAAAAATTTTAGAAATAGGATAATTATAAATAACGTCTGTCATAGTAGCCTTGAATGGATCCACCAGCCAATGGTATACCATAAACGATCGTTCCATCATTCAGGTAATTAGCGTATGATGGGCCACCAAGAATAACGTTACTTAACCCTAATCCTCCGTTTATTACATTATTGTAATTAAGACCTCCGTTCAATAAATCGGCGTTTAAGATTCTAGTATTAATACCTCTGTTCAAGATTTGATTATTCAATACTTGACTTCTAACGGCTCCAAGACCGACGGTGGGATGAACCTGTACGAAGCGAGGAGTAACAACAGGTTTTATCACTTTAGTGACCACAGGGGTATTGGATATAAGTTCGACATTAGCAGGATTTTGGTTCGCTGTGCCAGGTTCATTGGTCTTGACTTGAGCTCTAAACCCAGCATCGTCAGCAACATAGTTGACTTGTCTTTGTATACCATTAGCATCCGTGAAACCGTAACTTCCAGTCACGATACCAGCTCCATTACCAGCTTCTTCTCGATATTGTTGACTGTCCAGATCCTTGATATCATACCCGAATTTGTAGGGCTGTGGGTGGGAAATCTGCAAATGTAATAAATTGTTCTGTGAAGACAGTAATAAGAATCAAATCAATTGTATAAATAAATAAAATACCATAGATGTCAAATAGGAAATAGCGAAGGTCTCTTTCAGGTTTTTGGAGATAAATTCACTATGTTGGACTCTGTCTAAAATCTGAAGGAGACTTTGGCTAACTGCTAATTGGTGGTAATATTTTTGAGTAAGTTTTTAACTTCATTAGACATGTAGCCAAGTAAAATTGTGAACAAAATAAATGTTGCCATTCATCAATGATGAAACCACTCTACTTAAAATTTATGATTTACAAAGTCATAAAAAATTGTAAGTTAAAAACAGAAAATGCTGATATAATTTTAATGAAATTTGGAAGTAACTGGAATTTATGGATTTATCTTCCATCCTCTCAGAATAATTCTTGACTTTTGACTTTTTTCAGTAACTAAAATCGACTACATAGAGTCTTGCTTCGTAAATTAAACTTGTGCAAATGGCCTATCGCGGTTGTGAATAAGAAATGATATCCCTTGGTATCAACACCCTCATGCGGTACTAAAAGATTAGTATTGATTTAGAATAACTGCAAAAATAGCGCAATCATACTATATTCTCAACATGGCATGAGCAGGCATTCTGAGTGATAGCAATAAGTAGGCATAATATTACGAGCAGTCAGTTGCATAAAGCATATCATCAAGCGCAATCGTAACTTAACATAGCATAACCAGGTAATCAGCAATACAGGCATATATTCGTAAAGTTCGATAAGCAATCTAAAAGCATGCGATCAGAGATGAAAATGGCAAAGCATAATCTAAGAATGAAAGACAAGTTGCCGCAGTCCTACTCCGATGGAGTCGTAGCTCAGAATGAGCATACAAGCTTTACGCTGGAATTTTAAGATGAGGAACCCAGATAGTTATGTGGATGCTATTTAAATACACCTGCAAATAAAGCCTAGTTACTTTATTAATGATGTCTGGAATAATGCACGTAGCAACAACACAACAACAGTACAACATTTTTATAAGTTATACTTTGATAAATGGGAAGTGCATAAAAAAAGGACACCATATAACTTCCTTGAAAGACTTATTAAATTATGCATATTTTTTACTGGACTTAATTTAAACTTATTTCCTTGAAATATTCTAACTTAATTAATTAACGGAACCCACAAGGTAAGTTTATAAGGTATTTCTCCCACTTCCCTAGCGTGCCTTCGTGGTGTAACGGTAGCACACTGGGCCGGCATTCCAGAGGTCCGTGTTTCGATTCCCGGCGAAGGCGGTTGCATATTTTTCATCTTTTCTGCTTCCAATTAACCTAATGTCTCTACAAGTTGAAAGTAACATAAGAAATTGCAAACTTTGAAATTAAATATCCCACTCAATTTTTTCCTTGCGCGAGTCAAACTTCCTATAATTTTATTTTTCATATCGAGTATAAAACTTTTTCAGATATTAGTATAAGGATAGGAAGGTCGCGTTAAAAGTTAGATTTCGTTATGGGTCGAAAATTAATTTTTTTTCTAAATTTTATATTGCCAAAACTTCAATATTTTCATCATTTGGAACATGTATTTGGAAGTATATGACTTCGACCGGCGACTGCGAAAATAAAGGCCAGGTAAACTGGGTGTACGTACAGATGTCATGCAATCATTCGTCAAAATGGATTAGGAAACGGTTAAAATGAATATTTCCGTTGAAATATGATATCCGATTTTTTTTTGCGATTGCAGTACTTCCTTTACATCGTAGAAGGAAGTACAAATATCACATTGAGCATGGAAAACTATAAGGACTGACAAAGAGTAGAGTTTCGAATGCTGAATAAAAATGAATCTTGGATTCCCTAATGTATAGTTAGATAGAAGTTCTGTATTGATTAATAGACAAATGTAATATATAATGCAATTTTGATTTACATACGCTCTTATGATTATACAGTGGTGGTTTTTATATACTTTATTCTGGATTTGCGTAATAAGCAGATATTATTATTTCCTAGAATTATAAAATTTAAACACTGGAAAATCCCCCCTCCCCCAAAAACTTTTCTTGAAATTAGTATTACAAATACTATTTTTATACGATGCAGATATTTGATCATTTCAGTGGGGAAACGTTTATAGGAGATCACAGAGTTTTGTTCAGTTTTCATCGTTGAAGTTGAGATAATGTGATTATTAGCAAATTCTGTCAATTGCTCTTGAAAGAAATTTTTTAAACAAGAATTAAAATAACTGTCCTCTCATTAATATCACAAATAAAAGAATTAATTTTATTAAGAAAATGATTTCCTTCAACTGCATAACCTGGAACCAGTAACTAATAGCTGTATGATAACATCTCTGAATAGGATAAGTAAATAAAATTTAGATTATCATAGATGAAACAATTGTACAAATGTTTCGAGTGCAATTCATAACCGCAGGGAAATGATAATTGAACAAATTTGCAATCAATAGATATTTTTAGTTTACACAAATATATTTAAACATCCACTACATGTTATTATCATGACATTTCATCATCTGTTATTACATATAAATGCTGGAAGACGTAAAACTTTTAAATGCTCGAGTGCTTGTTTTTGAATTTTGTTTTTGATAATACGATGAAGTAAATAGAAAAGTCTTGAAATATTATTAAAAGTTACGTATTCGTTTTATAGGGTTATTCTAATTTCGCAATAAATGTTCAGCTGTAATTTCAAAAATAAATTAAAGGATTTATGATGCGTCGATTGGTAAAAGTTTTGCATTTCATGTCCTCCGATGATACCCGAGGAAAAAGAGCTTTTAATGATTCTTTTAAGATTAAAAAATTTGGTGAAAAGACTTTTATGAGATTTTTGAAGTTTTGAGCATTAGATGTTTTCTAATTGATGCAATTTAATATTTTTAAAATGATAATTTTCCATACTTTAGTACACTTTAAAAACTGACGACACGCAGTCATTTGGTTTTTAAACAAAATTAAACTTACATTTCAGAAATTTAAAACGTATTATTTCCCATTTGCAAATAAATAGCTGATTTTGACTAGAATTAAAACTTGTTATATGATATTAACGGAGAAAAATCTAAAAAGTATCTGGAAAAGTACTAATTTTTTTATTAATATAACAACAACTTTCATGACCAGTTACTATATCTAATAAAGTAATTCTTAAAATTAATAATTTTAAGATTTATTTTATTGGATATAATAGCTTTTTTAAATTTTATTTGTTTTAAACTGCTGAGTTTTTCGATTAAATTTTAAATACAAAAAGCTTTCACCTTACGAGAGTCAACATATTTCTTTCAAATCGATGAAATTCATAATTAAATTTTAACTATGAATATCTTGCGTTTCGTGTGGTGGCAACAGATTGCTATTGAACTGCTGAATTTTTTTATCAGATTGTTATTAAATGCTCGCAAGATATGAATTAAATAAAAAACGAATTCAAAATTCTACATTTTGAGGGCACATATTCGACGGGAAGACTTAAGTGTGTTCAAAATGTGGTGGCTGTAGGCGTGTGGTTACACAATGCGAGGGACATACGTACATATATTCGTCCATCCATACATACATATTTACATACATACAGATTCCTCATTATTTAATAATACGGATTAGGATGAAGTTTGAATCTACTGACTCTTTTGAACAAAATAACAAAATCATGATCTATTTATATGTAATGATGATGATCCATTTGTAGGTTACCTAATTATTGCATCTCAGAAATCAAATACATGATACTTACAGGTGCAACCTGAACAAATGAGCCATGTACGCAAGCCAAACTTGCGACAGCGATCAGAAGAATAACCTGAAATGAATAATTACAAAAAATTAATTAACAAAAATAAACTAGCACTCGCAGGTTATGAAACAAATAAAGCACAATTTTTTTCCATAATTTGATAATGCAGGTAAACGCAGTTAGCTTTAAAAGTAATTATTTTCAAATTTTTCATAATCATTACTTTTTTTAAGGGTAAAAAAATTCTGAAAGATACGTGGCATCGCCAAGTTATTACAATGCCACTTGATTAAGAAGGAATGTTAAAAATGTATTACTTAAAATCGTATATATGATCTTTTATTGCTGTTAAAAAGGGAGATGACATATATGTAGCTGTAACTGTAATGGGAGCATATAAGTGTAACTATGGTACAGAATAGTACCTAAAAGTGTAGAATAAACTATGTTCAACTGAGCTTGTGTAATACTATTTTTCACTTATTAATAAACCATAAATATATGTTTTAAAAAATGTCGGTCCAGTCAATAAATACTTTTAACTAAAAGAATTTTTCTTTTTTCGATAATTCTGGATTTAAATTGGTTGCATTCTCAAATGCGTTATAAAATTTCAGCCGCAAACTGATATTGGCAGATAATGTTTCACTTGGAAGTTTCAGTAGTTCTTTCAGCTACATTATCTAAACTACCATTATTTAAACTCGGTTATTGATTCTTATGCCTACAAAATTTTGTTTATCTGCTACAATTTTAAACAATTTGCTATTTTATAACAGATAATTGTTTTCGCTACGTTCTTCAGAGGAACTCCCTTCATGCTCATAAGATTTTTTGCTCATAATTACAACACTGATCTCTAATTTCAGTTTATTAAAAGGTTTCTTTTTTTTTCAACTAATTGCTTCTTGGTAATTTTCAGGAGCGTAGCTTCATTCTCTGTAGTCTGCGATTCCGGTAATACAGACGCTTTTGTACAAATACGAGATAAACTGCCTAACATTTCTTATTAAGCTGATTAAGGCATCCATATTTGGTAGATAAATTCAAAGAGACTAACACATTTGAAACAAAATACGCCTATAGATTTGGCACTTAATTTTAACGTCTTTTTATGAGCAAACCTTTTAACTTTAAGTCGTCTTTTCTTGGTATGAGACACCAGAAAAGGGAGGGTCCACGACCTAAATTTTACATTTAGTAATCACTTCAACAATAAGACGAGGATCTTCATTTTATGAATGCATCATCTTTTCCACAAATCTTTGTAACATTTCAGTATTGTCACGACAGTAAATCCAGCATACAAAAACGTCCTTATCTATATTGTACGTTTACCGTTACGTATTACATCTTTTAGTTTTGGCGAACAATGTCTTTTTCAATTTATTTGTCATTACCAGGTGACTGTAACTCGTAGCAGCTTAAACTGATGACCCACAAACAACACTGCTAAATGCAATTCTAAGAAATTTCTTAATATTTCTTTCACAAACTTTTCAAGCAGTGCTGCTGTCTCTTTCATTCATATTATTACTAAGGTTTACTTTGAAGCTAATAATGTTTAAAATACCAAAGAATATTAAAAAAAAAGGAGTCTTGATTTGTTATAAATAATTTTTGCCATTAAACTAGTAAGCCAGGTGTTAGTCAATTTTTTGGTATTTTATATAGTCTTGTATTCTTTGGTAACATAAGCTCACAAGCTGTAGAAAGACTGTAGAGGAATTATCCTCTGATATTAACAGCAGACAAAAAAAGTCACAAAGATCACAAAGAGTTCATAGTCGATCTCACATGGGCTAACATAAGCCAACATATCAGACTTAACTTAAACAAGTAATGTTGAACTTAAAGTAAAATGTAATTAAACCAGCATAACAGCTCACAGGATAATTCAAACGCGCAGGAAGACTTTGGCTCGTAGAAAACGACGGGACAAGCCTAATGTAAGCCTAATGTAAGCACTGAAAGCCACAGAATCAAATAGCTATAAAGTCAAGATAACAACGTGGCCTTTAAGCAGGCATAACACGCTCTAAACTCAGCTTCCGAAACTTTCGCTTAAATAGTACTTCTTTCTACCTTAATCTGAATAAACGCGCGCTATCTAATTTACATTCTGGCAGGAAAGCGCAGGTGAAAACAAAAGCGAGAGGAAAGTTGTTTTATCTAAAAATTAATTATTATTCAAAATAAACAAATAATTCCACATAACTTATAATACTACAGTACTAAATATATTATTATTTATTCAGCAAACCGTCAGTTTTTTAAATTAATTATTTGACTTTTCATAAATTAATTGAAGAGTATTTGAGAGATTTACTACTTAATAGCTTTCGATTTGATTTTAATAGAGGAAGAAATGTAATTCCTTCCGTAGCATGGCATTTTTCCCGCTCTCATTAGCCCATTTCTTATTAAGAAAAGTATTATTTCAGTTGAAAAATAATGAATGGGATTTAAAGAAATTGAATAATTTCATCAAAAAATAATGATATTTTCAGGCAGGAAAACCTTGAAGTATTAAATGCCAAGTTTAATCAACTCAGAGAGATAATTAAATGCGTGATATTCTAAGTATTAATTATGAAATAAAGCAAGAAACAAAAGTAAAAAATTATAAGAAATAGGTTTATTGACATGACAATATTACAACTGTCTTTTATACTTTACAAAAAAGTTTTATTTCAAAATATAAACCTAACACGTTTTGCTCGAAGTTAAACTGTAATTGTTATTGATAATAACTAATTAATTGAATTAAATTTTATCCATAAGGACATTTGACATGAAAACTTCAAATTAGATTTTTTACTATCTAATTAATATGTTCTACCAATTAAAATATTAAAGAAATAATTTTCTTTCTTTTTCTATTAGAATTAAATTATTTAAAGGAAAACCACTGCACTTACCTTGAGAGACATTATTACCGTAGAATGGCTTAGAAGAATATGCCAAGTTACGGCAAAATTCCTCCTTTATATCATTCTTAAAGGAGGTTAGAAAACTAATGAAATCCGCATAATCCATGAAAGAATTTCATTTACTATTCTGGATCACAATCATTCCAACTGTTATCTTGACTTCCAAAGCACTTTCAAACGAAACGAATATCTTACTAGACATCAACATTAATAAACATTTCAATGTTATTTAAATTAATAATGGAATTTGATTATGGCTATGGTTCGGTTGGTCAGCCTAGGAATTCTACAGATTATGTCACTCAAAAGTGTTTCTAAAGTCTGAGATCTTATCTTCTGTATAGTTCGAAAATCTCGTTCTCTTGTCATTTCACGTGGAATATGAACTTCCACTTAAACGTTTTAAGATGCATCAATACATTTTTTAGCAATATAAAAAACCCAGGGATTTTTATATTTTTCAATAATATAAAATTTTATGAACAGTAATCTCATTAATATAATTTAAACAAAATGTTTCTAAACCGTATATTTTGTATTGGGTTGGCCCTGGTGTTTTTTAAGTGAAACGTATGCTTGAAAGTAAAATGTTTTGGCAATGTGTTTCATATTATTCTCTAGAAAATTATGTACTGTACAAATTATTGCGTTTAGTTTTTTAATACTAATATACATTTTATTCTTTTCATGTTATTAAAATGAACTGTCAAATCGATAAAAAAAATTGCATTTTCGACACTTTCTGCTTTTTGAATTTAATCAAGGCGACAAAGCCATAGAATCTGTTTGAGAGATTTGTGAAGTGGATGGCAAAAAAAGCGATGTCTATTAGAGCGGCTCAAAATTGGTTTAAGTTGTTCAAACATAGTGATTTCTACCGTTGAGGCAATGAATAGCTTGTTGAATGTTGGGGAGAAATTGTAAAGACAAAAGGCGAATGCATTATTGATTGATTTGTTGTTAATTTATTTTTACTTCCTTGTACGAAGTAAAAAGGAAGTATTGTAACCGAGAAAAATTTCGGGTGTCCTATTTCAACGAAAATATCCATTTTGACCGATATCGAAATAAATTTAACGACATTTTTGCATGACATCTGTACATAAAGACAGAATTAAGGGCTCTTTTTCCCCCAAAAATTAAAATGAATTCTGAAGAGATTTTTTCGTGGCCACATACGCACGTATGTTTGTATGTATATATGTATATATGTGTGCATGTATGTAAGTATGCGACATACATCTCGCATAGCTCAAAAAAGATTAGCCTCAGAACGTTGAAATTTTGTAAATGGGACTAGTATAACATGTAAATGAGCACTTCCGTATTTTGGTTGCAATCGGCCGCACCAAAGGTATATAAATATATGTATATATGTATATCTACTCTGTCACTCGGCTCAGTGAGCTCAGTTCCCTTATTGTTATATGTTTCTAAATTGTGCATTTTTTGCTTTAAAATGATTGAATTATGTTGTTCTTATCTTCCGGTTAAAGTTTTTATGCCTTTAATTAACCTGCATGCAATAGTTGTGGAAATATCAACAATTTAAAAGTTTTTTAGGTGCTGCTACGCCTAATTTTTGTTTAGTATGCAGCCATATTTGTTTACATTTGAAACTTAGCAAAATTGTGGATTTGTTGCCAATCTAGAGAAACTAAGATTGCAAAGATATAATGGAGTTTGTTCAAGAATTGGAAATGCATAGTGAAGTGAATGGGATAGAAAGCATGTGCACCCATTCGACGTGTTGGACATGAACAGAGATTGTAGTATCTGGCGACTTTAATTATACGCTTTAAAATTATTTTAATAAATGTTCTGTTTCGTTTTGTCAAATGGTGCCTTTTTTTAATAGCAAAGCCATTACAACGGGCTCTTAAATACTGAACAGAAGGAAAACGGAAGTGGAACCGCCTCACATTTGAAAGAAGTTCGCCTTACTGAATCGAAACAAGCAGCATAAGTAATAATATGCAGAATCGAAACAAGAAGCATAAGGATCAAGAAATATTACATTCTGAAGTTTGAAAAATTAAAAAAAAAAAAAAAAATGTTCAAAAGTTTGAAGAAAGAGGATTTGGTAAATGTTTTATTGGAAACTGACGGAGAAGCAACTACAGATTTCAAACTGGCAGAACTTAAACACACATCACAGAATAGTACGGAATACATCAAATATGCTGATTTCTGTTCTTGTAGTTGTTGCTAGTCCTCAAGTAGAGCTTCTGCTAGACGAGATCCACGAGTTTATTCTCCTTCAATAAGTCATAGACTAGCATAGGAAACTTAACCAGGTCACCGTAGGACAAACCCAGACACCTAAGAATATGTGCCGGAGAAGCCTGCTTATTGCTACATTTCGGACAAATTGGGTGTGTTTTTTGACCTCTCTGGAAGGCAAGGCTTCTTAAAGGACCACTAAGAAAGCGGGAAAGTGCCGTCTGGGTGCATCTGCCACAGTTCATAGCGAGGGATCCACCAGGGGATTCAACCCGGTACCAAGAGTGTGCCGTAGGGACAAGCCAGGTCACTTTGTTAGTATGTTTTCTGGTAGAATACAGCTGAAGGTAAGTCAGACAATTAGAAACAGCCAGAGCCTTCTCGGCACCCTTCTTTGTCAGAGCGTCTGCCTCTTCCTTTCTCCAAATGTCCACATGTGAGGAAATCCACTGAATGTGCACATCACAAGAAGACGAGACTTGTTTTAACTTAGTGAGAATTGAAGTTCCAATTTTGACGCCAGCGTTACATTAGTTTGACAAATGTTGGATGGCACTACGACTATCAGTCATAATCCAGATGGCTTTAGTGTCTAAAAATGACATTATGTAGCTCAGTTCCTCATCGATATACTGACTTCTACAGTAGAGAACAGGAAAAGAAAGGAAGAAATGAAAAATGGAAAAAGAAGAGAAGAAATCGAAGGAATATGAATGGAAGAAGAGAGATGTGAATAGAAAGAGAGCACGAAATTGAATAAGCGAAGATTCGAGCAACACGAAATGGAGGAAGTAGAAGCCCGACACCTTCATTCCAAAACACCGGCCGAAGAAACCGAAAAATTTCCCTCGGCAAGCTTATCAAAGGAGTAGAAACATTATCTATACCAGAACCAAAGAGGGCGAACCAAAAAGCATGGAATATATTTTTAGACTCTATCGAAAGAACATTTAAGCACAAGAAAGTTCAAAGAGAATTCAAAATGGAAATAATCTTGAAACTATTTGTAGAAAAAGAAAATGTCCTCGTCTGCTATGAAAAAGTGAAAACACTTATTCTAAAGAAATATCAACACACTCGTCGAGACTACTTAGAAAATTTTAGAACAGCTTAACGTTATTCCGGTGAAACGCCTATCCAGTTTGCTTCACAATTGACAGACACATGAGACATGTAAATCAAGAGAAGAAGATTTCGAAACGCTCAAGGAAATAATTATTTCTGATAAATTGTTTCAAGCTTTGAGTGAAGAAACAGCATCACATGTCGCAATACGCCATGGTAATAAGTGGTTGAAATCGCACGAACCAACTAAAAAATGTGATATCCAAAATCTTTCGACTAATCAGCCAAACTAAAATCTTTCGACAAAGTCTGAAATGAAACTAAACGATCCCCGAGAGTCACGGATACAATAAATATATACAAGATAAATATATTCCCCATTCTTCCCGACAATTTATTGTCTTGATTGTTCTCACAAGAAGAGAACACTAAAGACAAGAAGGATTTTCCTCAAGGAGAAAGAATGTTATATTTGCGGAAGCTATCAACACGTTGCAAGGTATTGCGCAGCCAAAATAAGAAAGAACGAAGTTGCAGAAAAGAAGAAGGATAAATATAATCCCAGAATTCCTAGAAATTCAAATGGAACACCAAGAGAAGGAGCCGTAGTAGCTAAAGTAGGCTCCTCCCGTCTACCACCAGAATTCGAAGAAAGTATCGTCCAATCGTTGCAAAAAGTAGATATTTTTATTAACTCAGAGAAACTCGAAGCCATCGTAAACTTCAGAACTTAGATAACGATCTTCATCATTTATTCCAGATTTAGAAACACAAGGAAGGAAGTAAAGTCACGCTAATCTCTGCTTTCGGACATCCGACTGAAGCAAAAATGTGCCGCGTACCTATTTATTATAAGAAATATGGAATTTATTTATTTGATTTTGTGGATACATTAATTGCAGTGACTGATGAGCTATTTAATAACTCTAGAAATACACGAACTGTTGATTAATCCTGTAAGAAAAGATTCAAACGTCGACATTTTAGAAAGAAGAAATAATTCCGAAGAAGAAAATTTGCTGTGTCTTTTCGCCGAAATGCAAACAAAAGAGAATGTAGAAACTCCCCCACCACCACCACCACCAACGTTTGCACAAGCTTTCAGATTTTTTTGAACATCCTGCCAGCATTTTCAGGATTTTGCATAAAAATAACTTAGTTTTTTTATGTGCAATTAATACGAGGACTGACATAAAAAGTAGCTCTAAATAATCTATTTAATTCTTTAGATACGCACTAGATTATCAGTTATATTTCGCTTCGTCTAAGGATAAGGAATCTGAATTCGCAGACCCTCCGGATTTTCAAAAAGCTTTGAATTTTAAAAACTTCAGGTTTAGAGATTTTCTTGATTGAAATCTATCGAATCCCAACCTAAGATATCGACAAAATGTTTAGCTCAAAGCTTTGGAGAGATTAGTTTTCTTGACGCTCAAAGCTTTCACTAAAAAAGAATACTTTTGTACTGTATATTCAATACTATCTGAAACATTAAGACCCTCTCTGTACAACCTTGAGAGCTATACTGTTTCAGAACGGCATCTAACGAAATCTTCTAGAATTTTCAATTAATCGATGTGCTTTCTCGAAAATTCTTGAAATGCTACGATAATTTTAGTGTAGGTAAAGAAATGCAAATACAGTTTGACATCTGACAATATAATCGTACTTTCAAAATTTTATAAATTATGTCTCATTTCAATGTTATATAG